TGATTTAAATACAGTGTAATGATGAAAAGTATTTAGGCAAATTATTTATAGTTGGCCTTCCTTTCCCACCTTCAAGCATTTAGCTGACATGGAGGCCACACAAATTTGTGAATGAGTAAAATAGATTTCACCTTGAGAATCCTAGGTTACATCAGTTACAAAGACCCCCTATCCTGTCCATTGTAGATAGCTCTGTGTTTGTGTGTGTTGTAGGACTTGTTGTATATTAGTAATAAGAAAAAGTCCTTCTTTGTGTGATTCTCAATTTTGAGGTAAAAAGTGAAAGACAAAAGCCGTATTTCACAGTTGCTGAGTAACTGCTCTCTTTCCCTCCCTGTCCTATCAGTCTTCAGCAAATGACTTGCTTGCATCAGACCCCTTTGCTCCTCCTGTCTCAGAATCGCCAGGACAGACGTCACCTACGGGACAACCTGCAACCTTACCAACCAATCCTCTGGATCTTTTCAAGACAAGTGTTTCTGCCCCAGTGGGGCCCCTTGCAGGTCTAGGTAGGTGCCTAGAGAGAGATGAGTTACATGTAGTTCTATTACTTTCATTATAAAATAGATATGTAGGGAAAAGTACTTCATAGCCATAGAGAGTCCCATGGACATAAGATTTGAACACCCTAAGGAGCCCTTCTCCCATTGTTGCTCCTGTATCACCCTACTACCCTGTACAACCCCACCACACTTGACACTCTTGATTTATAACTGAAATTTGACCCCTTGAGTTACATGTGAGAAGAAACTATTTTCAACATGTGCATTTACCCAAACCAACTGGCAGTAGCTTCCTAGAAAACAGCTGTAAAGGACTCAAAAGATCAGACCAATTCAGTGAGGAAAAGGGATTGAGATGAGAGAGTCTTGTCTACCACCTGTGTTGGGAAGAGTTGTAGCATGCATGCCTGCCATGCCATTTGCCATCGCTACATTGAAGATACATCCCCTGACAAACCTATATCCCTCATGGAAGGCCAGTAGATTACGGCTGAAGCAAATTCAAGTCATAGGATGGAAGTTCTAGGTTATAGATTTCTCTGTTACCTATACATATGCTAGGTGTGCAACAGGCAAGGGTCCTGAACTCTTAAGCCTTAGCAACTCCTTGCCAATATTTTGGCTAGCAGACTGCCTTAGTAGAGTCAGAAGATAAGTTATAGAAACCTGACGTTGAAAAGAGCACAGGTATGTGAGAAGAGATGGAATTGTATCAGATAACCTAATGTATGCTGGGGCACTTACCCATAAACGTGTCATTAACTTGTGCATTGTTGAGCCACTCAGTGGCAGGGCCATGCAGAAGGCCACGTGGCTTCCAGCTGACCCTGCTGCTCTTACTGCAGCCTCCAGTTCTTTTCTGACTCCATAGTGCAGTTTCAGAAATTCCAACAACAGTCTTTGCTGTCCTGCTGGGGACTCTCTATTTTTCTGCATCTTGGCACCTCTACAAGCTTCAAATAGATTCTGGCTTGGGAGGGGATGTAAAAATGAAGGGCAGCTCTCTGCCTTCTTTGGTAAAATTTGACCAGCAATAGTGTCTTTCTTTGCCCCCTGATGAGTCAGTCATCGGGATCCTATTTTACCTCCATCTCTGCTGTGTTACCGCTCAGGAAAATATTTTGATTCTGTCTTGTTAAATAGGTTCAGCCACATCTGGAGTAGAGTGGTGTGAGGGGCTTTATCACTCAACTGCTGAGTGGCTGAAATCCATGCTTGTGTTCACACCATCAAGAGACTCTAATTACTTCAGGTCTCTTTGGGGTTTCCCTCTTTCTCTGTCATTCTTTTCCTCCTACCTCCCAACAGAGCTGATTGGTTGGTGCCTTGCCTTCATGGAAGGGTAGAGAGCTTGATGAAGTGCCTGCGACTAGACTAGATCATATCGCAGTGCTTTGTAGCTCAATATCAATGCCCTGAAGAATTTTTACAGCCAATATTTAACTAGTCAGCCTGAAAATACAGCTGGACCCTATAACTGTTAATTTATTCAGATGAAGGGAAGCTTTTTGGCTAGGTGCCTCTGTTGAGGCCTTGGGGTATACAACTACAGAATACTGATGATTCTTCCAAGTTTGGACATGGAACTCAAACTGAGCTCCACAGTATAGCCCCTGTCCACTAGCAGGGATCCTCAGCCAAAGCATGGAAGGTTGTAGGTCTGGCTTCCGCTGGACCCAGCTGGGAGACTGTCTCTTTGGGAGAACTGTGGGGGTGGGGAGAGGGCTGAGCTCTCAGCTTTGACTTGCTACCCTGTGTTTTAACCTAGCTTCAGAAGGTAATAAAATTAACTTTTTGTACCCACTCTCTTTTCCTTTACCCTTTACCCTTCTTTTCTCCACTGGTTCCTTTAATGCTTTGGAAACATGGTGTGTGGTATCTGGTGGATGGGAATGAAATCTGGCACAGGTATATACCCAGAAAGCCTTTAACTCCTGGCAAATACATTATTATTCTCTTTTACCACCAGTCCCACTAATACCATCTATGACTAAAGCCACATATTTTCCTAAGGGAAGGCATGTAGTCCAACATGACAGATGATAAAATTCTATCCTATTTCTAGCACATCCCATTGGTGGAAACGATTAGTGAGTGACTCTGATTTCAGTTAATAAAATTTAAATAAATATTTTCAAATGCCAGCAATAACTTTGTTCAAACTAAACCCACTTTTAGAAGCCTGTACTATAGAATCTAAGAGAATGTTTTTCTTGATTCGTTGTGAAAGGAGTATATTCTGTAGTTGAAAGTAAGTCTAACTTCTGTATCTGTTAAATAAATATTTGAATTACCATCGATTTACAAAATAGTCCTATTTCTGGACGCCAAGGAGGCAGGATGGGAGGATGTAGTGCTGGATTCAGAAGCAGTGTACCTGGGTTCTAGTCTCTGCTTTCAGAGACTGACTTTCCTAATTTTAGTCAGCCCTCTGATACCCAGTTCCCTAACCACAAAAAGAAGCATGTCAGAGTGACCTTCCCTCAAGCCCATCACTTTCTGAACACACACTATATGTTCATGGTCAGATGGCTAGAGTTCATGATGACAGAGTTGGGTCAAGGTGACACAGTAAGATGAGCATCTTGTTAGGACCCTGAACACCACTTTCAAAGTACTCTCACTCTGGAAACAACAATATTCTTAAGTAAAGTTTTGAGGCCTTTTCTTGGTTGGGTTAAAAAACTTTTTTTTTTTTTAACAACAACTCCTGCATATTATGCATAAATCTGAAAATCAAGTAGATTACATTATTTGAGAGAAGAAAAATCATCACAACTGGAGAAATAAGCAACATCATGATGTTGTTGTTGTTGTTGTTATTTGCCATCGAGTCAGCCCCGACTCATAGTGATCCCTCCTTGGGTTTCCGAGGCAGTATCACTACAGAAGGAGGATTGCCCAACCTTCCTTCCGAGGAGTGACTGGTGGGTTTGAACCGCCAGCCTTCTGGTTAGCAGTCAAGTGCCTTAGGCACTATGCTACCAGAGCTCCCAACATCATGATAAGTAAAGAAAATATTGAAGTTGTCAAGGATTTCATTTTACTTGGATTCACAATCAATGAACAGCAGTTACTGTTTAAAACTTTTAAAACTCAAAAGTGCTCTGCTGAAAGTTCAGACCAAGTAGGTTTTGAGAACAGAGCCTCCTCCGTGAATAAGGCTGAATTCAGGTTTTCTGTTAGTAGTGACAGCTTAACCGGATCATTAATACACTTGGGAAGAGGCAGGAAAGAAAATGCCCTACATACTAGAGCAGCATGTAGGGAATGGGCCCACTCAGAAGAAGAGCTGGATTTTAGTGATTGAACTAGTTTGTAATCAGCATGGCAGTGATGTTGGAGATGTCACCATTTGCCCACAATGATCAGAGGCTCCAACAAAGGCAGTTAGTTACTATGTGAGGTTTTTGTTTCCTGATGTCTTCTCTTCCCTCCCTTCCTTTCTTAAATACTCTGTTCTAACTTAGTCTAGGTTTAGTGAATGACACAGGGTAGGAAGCACTTTTATTCAAAACAGTCCTCCCAAGATAACCAGCCTTTCCTCAGTTTTACATGTAAAAGTCTACGATTGTGTTGGCATCAACCAAATTTTATCTTCCCTTGTCAACCTTGGCAACACTAAAAGTGAGGAAGCTTTGAAATGGTTTATGATGCAAGGATATTGAGACAGAATGCACATGCTTGATAGCTGGGTTCTGTATGACTCCAGATATGAGCGAGCTGCTAGATTAGAAGATGAAATTGATTAGTCAGAGTGCCCCTTCACGTGTCTTAATTACTTCATAATTAACATGAGTTGGATATATACAATTGATTCAACAAGTTCCTGTTATTGACAGGCTCTGTTCTACTTTGATATACTTCAGCGTATTATGAAAAGAGCTAGATTTTTCATAACTACGTATTTATGGACTGCATTATCCCTCTAATGAAGAAAGTGAGAAAAGTGTGGTCCTTCCCCCGACTAGAAAGAGCATTACCTTCTGAATACTGCTAGCTGTTCTTAGTTAGCTAGTTAACCTTTAGAATGATTCAATCACTTGGACCCAGCATTATTTCCATGTTAGTTTATGATGTGGCTTCAAGCTTAATGAAGGTGTTTGCTGTGTACATGCTCTATAAATGCTCCCTGGAGAGTTGTGTTTTCTGAAACTCAAGAATCCTTTTCAGTGAAAAGGAATGAGAGCACATGGCCCATGCCATACAATGAAACCCAAAAGAGGAGCCTCTGCTGTGGGTTAGTCAATAGAGAGTTTGAAGAACAGAAATGTCTGATGTGTACTTTTATGTGCCTTGGTGTCCACTAAATGTGGTGACCTTGTCAATTACGCCCAGCTTTGGAATAAAATCTACCAGCCTCAATCAAAAAAAGAAAAAGAAAGAAACAATCCACTTTAAGCTTAACTCCTAAAAAGTAGTTTTTCCCTGTTCCTTCAGGTGGTATACCAGTTACACTTCCTCAGGCAGGACCATGGACTCCACCATCTTTAGTCTTCAATCAGTCCACCTCA